AACAACTTTTGAGCAATATTCGACTTCAAGAGTGATACATTCATTCCAACTCTTCTCTAACATTTCGATATCTTCGGCCTCTAAATACGGCTTTCACCCTTTGCTGTTTTTAATTGTTATCAACTGAACTTTAGATTTCAAGAAAATATATTGTTTCATGAAAATTTTTCATTATGATTCCACTATGTCCTTTGATTGTGAATCTACTGCTATCCTTCACACTGTTATTATACAACACAAAGGGCCTGGCTTGACCAGGATTTGAACCTGCGCCCACTAGCTCGTGGGTAAGGCGACTTAACCAATCGGCTATTAATCGCCCTATCGACTCGAACATAAATAAATATTGGTTGAATCATCTGAAATATGAAAAAAAAAGGGTATATGTATCTTCGTTCGTGTTTGAATTGCAGGTGATCGCAGTGGAAAATTTCATTGTAACGTTTCTAATAAAGTCTAGATCACATAAACGCAGAAAAGAATTCCAATATTTACCGTAGAATACGAAATTGAAACGGGAACAGATAGGGATTTTGATCGAGAAGTTTGTATTTGCGTTTTATTACTTTATAATACCGACCTGCAGAAGCGCGCACAGCATTCAAATTGTTCCACGAACATTGAAGGAAACTCTATAGCTATTAGCATACAGCAATTATCCTGAAACAATAAAAGGATCTGTAAAAGTCCGAATTGCCTGCAAAGTTTAATTGTTACAACTATTTCGATTGCACACACGAGAGCATTCTCACATATGAGTGTACATGATGGCTCAATTCGTGTGTGGAGGAAAGTGCTTATAACAATGACATAATCAAACGCTTTCGTTTCCGTCCTTCTCTCTCTCTTAATCCATAGATTCGTATCATTTTATTTCTCGCCACCCAAAAACACTCTCTCTCTAAGGGTTGAAAGAGGGACCATAAAAACAACCCCATTAAGAGCAGGCCTCGTTTACCGAATAAGTCTTTCGCTGATTACATTAATAATTTCGGATTTGTAAAACAAACAGAATTGTTCGTTGATGCAATCAGTGTCAACGTTCACTCCTTTTTTGTTGTTGTCGTTGTTGTGTTTTTGAGCTTGTTATTAATTTTCGACGAGCTTAAAATTAATGGAATTCGCGTCGAGCGTTTATATTAAAAAAAAAACGTATATGAAAATCGATGTAATCAGTTGCACGGGGGAAGAAGGAAATTCAATTAATCGTATTTTCGAACGGGTTCTGGCGCGCCTCTTCCTGCCTCCAATTCCAATGCAAGGACATAGACTTATTGCTTTTGATATGGATCCTCCTGTTCCTGTTCTATACGAAGAGAAATGAAACGTGATCTTCGTAATTATTGCAGAGCCAACGCCCATCTGAAAAAATTTCAAATAATCGACGAGAAAAACTAGTGGAAAAATGAATAATTCAAAGAAAATTTATTGCATACAAAAACAATAATGTCACGAAAAATTGGATAATTTAAAGAAAGATAATTTCAAAATTTTTACAGAAAAATTCACAAGTACCTGAAATATTAAAAATTCAATGAAAAGTAATGATAATTAATCAGGTAATTTGAAGAAAAAGCAATTTTGAAAAGAGAATAATTCAAATAAAAGCTATGACAAAATAAACAATTTAAACAAGAATTAGATTTATTTTGATCTAATTGATGACAAATTGAACAATTTTCAGAAAAATCATAGAAAAATGAATAATTCAAAAGAAAACTTTCCATTATTTACAAATAATTCAATGAAAACTATACCAAAACGAAGAATTAAAGAAAAAACGAATAAATTGAAGAAATATAACAAAAAATACATTTAGTTTAATAAAAATTATGGAGAAACAAACAAATTAAACAAGAGTTAGGTCAAATCAATTAATTCATAGAATACTAAAGATAAATCAAACAATTTTTAGAGAAATCATAGAAAAAAAAATAATTTAACGAAAAATTTACATTATTTACAAATCCTGCAATGAAAACTTTACCAAAACGAAAAACTAATGGAGAAACGAATAAATTGAGGAAATATAAAAGAAACGCATAATTTAACAAAAAAATATAGCAAAACCTTGGTAAATTGAAGAATTTAATGAAAAATATTGACAAAACAACTAATTGAAAGATTAAAACGAATTTGAAGAAAAATTAATGGAAAAAAGAAAAATTTACATTATTTCAATGAAATCTATAGAAAATCGAATAATTTAATAAAAATTCAAGTAAAAATTAATGGATAAACGAATAAATTGAAGAATTATAATAAAAACACAAGTAATTTAAAAAAAAATATGGAAAAACAAACAATTTTAACAAAAATTATATCAAGACAATTTATTTATAGAAAACTTGAACAAATTGAATAATTTTCATAAAAATCATAGAAAAATGTATAATTCAAAAGAAGACTTTATTATTTATAAATTATTCAAAGAAATCTATACAAAATCAAAGAAATAAAGGAAAAACTAATGGAAATACGAATAAATTGAAGAAATATTAAAAAAACACGTATAATTTAACAAATATGATGGCAAAACCAACAATTTTAAGAAAGATCTTGACAAAATTGAAGAATTTAAAGAAAAATAATAGAAAGAAAATAATAATTTGATGAAAACGAATAATTTTAGGAAAGTTGATAGAAATAATGAATAATTAAAAGATTAATTCTCTAACAAAAGAAATAATAAAAAAATATTAATAAAAAATATGGATTAAAGTAAAATTATTATGGTATGCGGAGTAATTAAAAACTCATCTCTGCTAGAGAATTAAGAACATGCGCGCCTCCAAAGTAATTAAAAGCAGATTGCGTAATTTTTTCCAATTAATCCAAAGACGAAATAGTTCTTACAATCATAATTATATTTTCGCAGCAAAAAATTCTTTTCACTGAAATATGACGAAACATATTAAATGAAGAAAACTATTGTACGTTTCCATTGAAAATGATTAAAAATGTACTGATTTAAACTCAATTTTTATTAATATGAAAAATTCTATAAAAGAAAAGTTATTGAAATAATTCTGAAATTATTGATACAAATTTCCTAATTTTGCAGAAATTCAAATCCTAAGCAAATACTCCGATTGGTATCGTTAACGTAATGAAGAGAATTCAGGTAAATCTACTCGAATATCAAAATCTTTCATTATTAATACAAACTAACAAATTTGTTTATACAACATAACTTATTAATTTAACTTTGACAAAGATATTTACTTGTAACATAAGTTCAAAAAAAAAAAACAATAATTTAACGTTTTACAAAAGCATTTCCATATTACCAAAAAAACTACAACTATTTTGATTAATAATTTAACCGAATTTTGAATAATTCTTCTATAATTATATATGAAATCATAACTCAACAATTATATACTTCTAGTTAAAATTTAATCCTAAATAGATACTCAAATCTGTATGATTAACAAAGAAATATAATTAAATTGAAATTTAACTCAATAATCAATATATTACACTAAAGAAAAGCATTTCTCTCGAATGCAGAAATTCAAAACAAATATCTTCGATTCATATTACTGAATGAAACAACAGCAACAAAAAATATTAAATCTATCTGAATATATAATCTTTCGCGTAATGTAGTTTGTGCATTTCCGGAAATTGGGCTCGAAACTAGATTGGCTTTCAACCAAATTGGATTTCGTTAGCAAAAACACGTTTGTTTCAAGATATTGTTATTCGAAAGTTATTTACGTTCATAAAATTGCATTTTCTCATATTACGATTTGTATCAGATTTACTGTGGTAAATACAATACGAATATTTACAGAAAATGCAATAAGTTCCAGTACTGCTATACTCGTTATAATCAACATTTACTATATTTCGATACATACAAAATAATTTTTAAATTTGATATTTCACCATATTTCACGAAGACTATGAAACATATAGAATTTATAATATACACTAATTAAAGCTTGAAAATTTGGCTTTCATTAGAATATTCATATTTGTAATTGATATACGTGATTGTCTAGTAAAACCATCAAACGCGAATGCATTAACATTTTTTTTTATTTATTTCGATAGCTGATTATACGCAAACCACAACGAATGTAAATCTACCAGTATATTCAAATTAAAACCTGTGAATTTAGCTTTAATTGGAGTACTCTTAATTATATTTAGCATAAGTAGTTTTCAAGTAATACCATAAAACGTGAAGGTACTGCATTACTTTTTCAATTTTGACTGTCTTTTAAACACCAATAGCCACAAATCTACTAGTGCACTTAAATTATAGCCAGTATATTTGTCTTTAATTAGAGTATTAACACTTCTAATTATCATGCATGGTTCTCGAGTAATTCGAGAAAACGTGAAGACATTGCATCAAATATAGATTTTTTTTCTTCTAAACTAAAACGTTAAATAAAATTATACAGAAAGTAACTATTGCACTTTATATCTCTAGCAAAGAAAAATAAATAAATATGTAATTTAATAACTTCTCGGAAGAATTCCCATGTGGATAAGTGGAAATTCGCACATTAGTTAGTTGAAATTGAACTTGGTAAGTGCTTTCGCATTTTCATTGGGTGAGACTTAAATATTTTATGAAAACCACATAACCCAAACAACATTTGCTGCAAAAAATATCTTAATTTTAATAAAAAAAAATGTTTACATTTCTTGTTGTAATAATTATAGACAAAAATATATGAAAGTTAATAATTAACTATTATTTTAGATTTGTTACAATAGTTATACAATTCTATAAATAATTGGAGCCTTTTGTCGTCTTTAAGAAATTTTGATTAATTTGTAATGTTTTAATTAGAAATCAATTATAAATTAATACCTAGATGAAACAATGGCAATTATAAACGATTGAAATAGACGAATTCAATTTCGATCATATAATCACGTCTGTCCTAATGATTATTACATAATTTATATTCAAATATTCAGCGTTCAAAAGAGTGAATTGGTTAATTAATTTGCTGTTTTATCTTTTCAACTTTCAGAGCGTCGTATTCCATCTGTCACCTCATCCGAACTACCCGGCGTTTTTCCAATGCGTAACCTTCGGATTCTTCGTCTCCAGAAATCACGAAATCGCGTACAATCTCTTCTGCGTTTTGGCCATGTACTTTATACCGTTGATGGTCATCGTTGGAGCGTATTCTGCTATCATGTGGGAAATATCCAGTAAATCCAAGGAATCTGCAGGTGCGTAAATTTAAATACAATAAACTCAGAATTAGTTATTTTTTACTGCGAGTCAAAATTTATAAAAGTTAATACATTATGAAAATGTATTACAATTTAATATTAAGTGTAGAGTTTTTCACGTAATTGCGATTTGCATTATTAAACTACTTTTTTTTCGATGTAGGTAAAGTTGTATGAAAAGTGTGTGTGTTGAATTTGAATTGGCCGGAAAAGAAAGGAAAGTAAACGTCCGAAGGGTGTAAGCCCGAAAATCCAGTTTTCAGACTTTCCTCGTGAAATATTCAAGTGAGGAAACGCGGATAATCCGGAGCGAGGAAAAACGTGGTTCGGGTGATTTGCTTTGCGCATTTTATTGCCCTTTTTACCGATATTTTCCTCCTACAAATATTGTAAACTGTATATTTTATACATTACTACCTACGTTCGAAGCTACCAATTTAAATCACTATGCAAGAGAAACATATATGTTTTTTCCTATATAATATAGGTTTAGCTTTCTTATGTAATAAAATGCTTCAAATTTTGTCCTTCAAATAAGTGAAATCCATAGTCTACGACAAGTTTTTTTCAACCTTTTTCATCTCAAAGCACATTTGAATCTATAATGGAACTTTTATGGTACATTTGAACTTTGTTATTTCGAATTTTGTCAATTTATGCTGAATTTCATTTGGCGTTCGAATTAATGTACATTTTTATGAAATTTTGGTAAACTCTTAAACATTCTTCATTGGAGAATAATTGGATTACTTTTATAGCATACTTAGATCCTTTCGTAGCTTACCTAAGACAATGGAAATTACTAATTTTCAGTCAGGTGTACCAACTGTTATGTAATAATGTTAACATTGCTTTAGTGTCTGACACATTTATATCTCATGCGAAGTGCATTGAGGACGCACCATTACATAATGAAACCAGTTATTGCAATATTATGTGAAATTTATGAAAATAATATTCATAATTATAAAAAAAATTACTTTGTTATTTCGAATTTTGTCAATTTATGCTGAATTTAATTTTGTCGTTCGAATTAATGTACATTTTTATGAAATTTTGGTAAACTCTTAAACATTCTTCATTGGAGAATAATTGAATTAATTTCACAGCACACTTAGATCCTTTCATAGCTTACCTAAGACAATGGAAAATACTAATTTTCAGTCAGGTGTAACAACTTTTATGTAACAATGGTAACATTGTATTAGTGTTTGACACATTTATGTCTCATATGAAGCGCAGTGAGGACGCACCATTATATAACGAAACCAGTTATTTCAACATTATGTGAATTTTGTCAATTTGTGGTAAATTTCATTTTGTCGTTCGAATTTTATGTACATTTTTATGAATTTTTGGTAAACTCTTAAACATTCTTCATTGGAGAATAGTTGAATTAATTTCACAGCACACTTAGATCCTTTCATAGCTTACCTAAGACAATGGAAATTACTAATTTTCAGTCAGGTGTACCAACCATTATGTAATAATGGTAACATTGTTTTAGTGTCTAACACCATTTTATAACGAAACCAGTTATTTCAACATTATGTGAATTTTGTCAATTTGTGCAAAATTTCATTCTATCGTTCGAATTAATGTACATTTTTATGAAATTTTGGTAAACTCTTAAACATTCTTCATTGGAGAATAGTTGAATTAATTTCACAGCACACTTAGATCCTTTCATAGCTTACCTAAGACAATGGAAATTACTAATTTTCAGTCAGGTGTACCAACCATTATGTAATAATGGTAACATTGTTTTAGTGTCTGACACCATTTTATAACGAAACCAGTTATTTCAACATTATGTGAATTTTGTCAATTTGTGCAAAATTTCATTTTATCGTTCGAATTAATGTACATTTTTATGAAATTTTGGTAAACTCTTAAACATTCTTCATTGGAGAATGATGGAATTAATTTCACAGCACACTTAGATCTTTTCATAGCTTACCTAAGACAATGGAAATTACTAATTTTCAGTCAGGTGTACCAACCATTATGTAATAATGGTAACATTGTTTTAGTGTCTGACACAATTATGTCTCATGCGAAGTGCAGTGAGGACTCACCATTATATAACCAAACCAGTTTTTTCAACATTATGTGAAATTTAAAAAAAGAAAATTTAATTTTCGAATTTTGTCAATTTGTGCTGAATTTTATTTTGATATTGTCGTTTAAATTAATGTGGAATTTGATGAAATGTTGGTAAACACATGAACTATTAATTATAATCTACAAACTAAATAACAACGTTTGCATTTAACAAATACATACAAAACATAAATTGTGGTAAATATGCATTATAATTATATATATAACAACAGTAAATCCGATCTGCTAAATAGTGCTTGAAAGTCGGCAGGACTTTAGTGAAACAGTTAGAACGAAAGTTTCAAGAGTCTGTGGTTAATTAAGCTCGAGGGTAAAAAAAAAGTCGGTGGCAATTGCTAATTAGCGCACTCGCCGAACTCGATTAGCGCAGAAAGTTTTCTGTTTTCGAACCGCAACAAGGCGATTATTCCGAATTTATCGCTGTAGACGGAACTGAAAGCTCTTTGCTTCGACGACACAAAGTCAAAGGTGAGAAATTGGGTTTCTTGTATAGCTGACAAATAAATGAAACACAAGTACAATTTATGGGTCAAAATGACCCAATTATTGTATATTAAAAAAAATAGAACAAATGATTACTTTTTACAACTAATACAGACTAATTCTTATTGTATAAAGAATTTAAGATCATTTAAAACTAATTTTATTACTGAAAACAGTCTGGACAAGTAGGACAAATTGATCTTTTACGTATGTCACAAAACATTGCTGTTTTCTTGGACAAAAGAAACACCTCTTTTTTTTGGTATATAGAAATACGTTCAACTCCCAACAAACATCAACAAGTGGGTCACTCTGACCCATCCCTTGTACTTACGGGTTAAAAGTCTGCACCTAAGAAAATAACTCAGTCAGAATGAAAAGTTATATTTTTTTTTATATATAATTCAGAATTATTTGTCTTTATTCAATTATTAAGTATACAACATTAACAATTTCTAAATGTAATATTTTTTTGATATTTTCATAGAAAACATGTTTGAATTGATTGCGTTCACATCAACGAATTGAATTCCGTTTTCCGTATAAACAAGATTTAATACGTATATTTCTGTGGAATTCGTTTTTATAGTTTAGAAATTTCTCGTTTAAAAATTCTTTTCACGTTAAGAACGAAATAAAGGTTCAAAAAATTTAATTTTATGCATTTTTACTTTAATAATAAAATTTTTACGTTCCTCCAAGTATTCATTTATATACGCTTATATAAAATCTGAGTATATAACAAAAAGTTGTCACTTTTCTTAGAACTTTATATAAATCTAATTAATTATTATATGTTGTTTTCTCTTTAATTGTAATTGTACAAATTTATGTGTGTTTCCATTTACAATTTGTTAAAGGAATAATATTTGTTTTTCTTCATAAAGAAAATCAATAAATTTATATCTCTCTTTACTTAATACTCTTACTTAAACTACCGAACTAATAATTATACAACCCTGCTCAACTCCCCCAAGCCAAAGTTCCTCGACAACTTCAGGGCACAATGTCGCCACTGTTTGCCGAGTTGCCACCACTTTTGCCCTCAAATAATTAGAATCAAAGTGATTACTTTTTTTTAAGTCGTGAAATTTTATTCACAATCTGTTCATCAATGTGAACATTGAGTAAATCTATCCTAGTGGATAGTTACCATTATAATGATTTTGAACATTAATAATTACTTAAATCTATATAATATTCTATATAAAAAAATTCTATATAATATTTTTTTAATTAAAATTTGCACTATGAATTATTACCAAAAAAAAATATATGATTTCATTTTAAATTCATAAATTTATTCAGATGTTAAAAGCGTCCTTTTTCGCAAATATTTCATAGTTAGTTCTGTGATGGTTTGCGAGTATTTAAGGTTTTCTTTGTTATTTCGTTTTTGTTGTTGTTGTCATAATTTTCCATTATCATTGAAGCAGCAGTGTGCACGCTGTGCTTGTCAGATTCCTGCGGTCCTGTTCTGATTTATGAAAGTGCAGACGCGAGCTTTTTGCTCGACACAAAAGAGCAGCTTGCACATGCCGGCAATTCCATAGGAGCAGAAATACTCACATTATTCACACATGTTTAAATAAAACATATGTTTATCTTTCGTTGGAAATGTAAGAAAAAGAGAATTAAAATAGATTTGAAATATAGTTTATATTAAAACGAAGAACACATTTTTTACTGCAAAGAAATCATTAATTGTAATTGTAAAATCAAATGTAAAATTTTCGATTATATGAATTAAATCCATCGACAAATCCATATCATTATTAGGAAGTACCAACCTTCAGGCGATGCCTGTCAAAATTTCATGAGAATCTGACGATTAGTTCATAAGTTATAGTGGTTTTAGTGACTCTACTTTTGTAATTTTTAAAGCAATGGAAAAATCTGAATTTCATGTGTTGATAAAACATTGATTTTTGTCGGGAAAAGGAATGGTTTGATAAGTGTTATGGGGACTCTTCTCCGTCGAAACAAATGGTAGAGACGTGGTTTGCTGAACATTATGGTCGCCCAAATTCGGCAATTGTTGCAGAAAACATAAAAAAAGTCCACAAAATGGTTTTGGACGATAGTAAATTGAAGTTGCGTGAAATAGCTGATACCCTGAAGATATCAGAAGGCAGTGTATTCGCTATTGTGCACCATTTGATCAGGAGAAAGCTTCTTTCAAGCTCAAAGTGGACCAAAAACAACAATGAGATGATGATTCCGAGCTATTTTTGGAGCTGTTCAAGCGAAATAATAAGGATTTTTTTACCACTACAATTCAGAGTCAAATTGGTCATCAGCTTAGTGGACAGCAAAGAGTGAAAGCCGTATTTTGAGGCCAAAGATAAATCTTTCTACAAGAAAGGTATAGAAATGTTAGGGAAGCGTTG